GTCTTTCCAGACACCTTATGGAGGTTTTCTAAAATAATTTAAGCTAACCAATAGGAAAGCATGTGCAAGCTATAAAGTCTTCTACAAATATAAGAAATTGCCATTTATATTATCATGATGGAACTTAATGTTCTAGGCCTCTTTATTTTTATTTGGTTGTTTTCATTCTACCCTTGCTTTCAAGTCATGTAGATGCAAATATATTTGCTATAATTCACCAAGTGAAAGTCCCCAGCTCTGCAAAAGCCACACCTGGAAGAATGTAATAGCACTGCTTTCTCTTAGACTATACGACCATCTGAAATCTGCTTTGGAATGTAATTCAGTCAGAAGCAATTATGGCACTAGCACATATTCTGAGAATTCGTGAAATCCCCCAGCCGAAGCCGTAATTCATTGCTCCAATACCAATAGCATTTGGCAAGCTACAGTTTGGAAGCCACAATACTGGCTGCTTTTGAGGCTCTAAATTGGGCCATTTGGACTCATTGTGGTACCGCATGCTCCCACCACACTGAAGAGATCCCTCAGTCTCTTTAAACAGAATTTTCTTTAGTTCCTCTCAGGCCTAATTTAACATTACACTTTCTGGATTAAGAGATGACAAGGTGTTTAAGCCTCCACCTCCTCCACTCCCCAAGCATTGCAACATGAATATTCTACACATTTATCTCACACAAAAGCCTTTGTGAAGCAGCTCTGGATTTTCCAGCACCAACTTACACAAGTGTCATTCAAATTCTTAATGATGGGTTTATGTGAAAATGCTTTCTCCACACTTCCCTTTGCTTCATCTTAGATGGCAGCATGGTTCTTCCTCTTTTGAAAGCAAGTATTAAAGGAGATGCCTCCTTCAGGCAAATAACGTGGTTCAGTTACAATTGCGCATGAAACGTATATAGGGAAAAAGTCACAACCACAGGTACCACCTTGAGCTGTCATGGTAATATGCAGGCAGGTAGGCTGGGCCTGAAGATGGAAATCAGGCATAAAGCCCTGGTCAAAGGTCAGACACTTTAGCTAAGAAAGATAAAAATCTTCTGCCTGAGTGGTCACTGTATAATCTCACTTCGTTTAGAGTGAGATTCTATTCACAACGTCTACCTATAGGCCCAGTATCTTCTGACGAATCATCAAATGTACAAATGGAAGGAAGTGGACATGACACCTTGGGAGCTCCAGGTGACACTTGGATGACTCTGTGGCACTGGGCTCTACCAGGTGCCCCAGTCACAGCCTCAACACCTCCAGGGATGGGAAATAACCCCTCATGAATGAACTCAATTTCCTTATGGTATCCTAACTTTAGGAAATGAGTTAACTTGAGTTTTAGCTATTTTAACTCTTCCCAAATGCCTAAGCCTCCACTTAACAGCAGGGAATGTCACCTACTTGAGATCTATAAAGTTTCTTTATATTCAACCCTGAAGGCAATCTGATCTAAATGTGTGTAAACTGGCATGTGTCTCCCCTTCAGGAGAAACTGTTACGTCTATGGGAAATCAGGTGTATGTTTTAGGCCTATGGATTCCCTCATTATATTAATCCTTATCAAAAGGAAATAAAGCAAATCTAGCATGATTTTTTTTTTAACTGAACCCTTGAGAACTTCTAGTAATTGGTATTTTTCTTCGAGGTGTACAGGAAAAACTCTATTAATATTACTTTCTGGGAAAATGAATAAACATTAATCAACAAGTTTACTTTGTAAACTCAGCTTTTCTACTACTTTGGAGAGCTGAAGCTATATTTGGGTATATCCTGTATTCTAGCACTCTCCCTATTCCTATATCTACTGTTATCATATATGCATAGTGACTTACTTCTCTCTGGATAATATTGCTGCTTGATATGCTGGTCACGAGTAGCATTATCTCTGCATTTCATTTCAGTCAATGTCATCTCATGTTTCAGTTTCGAGCAACCTGTTCTTTTTGTTCAGGGAGCATGAGTCCATTCACAGACCATATGACTATTTGTAAACATGCAAAGTTTGTGCTGACAAACCATGACTGGAACGCCATGCATCTATAAAATACAAACTGTGTATTGTGCATTTGGGTATGAATTGGCTTAGTTAGCAGTCTATAGGGAGTGTGTATTCCCCATACAGTATAGTTTAAAAAGAAATATGTTTTGAATTTTTGTTCTGTTCTTCGTTCTGGAAAAGTTATTCATCCCACCTTTATAAGAGACAATGGTGGGTGATTATGTTTATCTTTATGTACATAGCAAAGGCAAATGTAAACTGTTTAGCCTCAACTGACTGAAACTTTTTAAGCACTAATATAAGATCTATCAATATGAGGTGGTAGCTTTTACAAACAAAAAACTCTCTTATTCTCTTTTTAAAAGAGAAGATTTCATTCCATTCTCCTGGGGTATAGACATGAAATTACCCCGATAATATTTTATATCATAAATATAGTTACATATATAGGCTATATATTACCCATTTAACATAAAGCAGGCTACTTGGCTGACTAATCCTATTGAAACACTCAAAATCGAGAAAGTTCCTTACCTGCCATCAGCTCACACTTACTTTCACTGAATTCATGAGATAGTGCATCACTGGAAAAGCCTATCTTCACTGGCCATGACTTTAATACACAGAGGTCTTGATGTGTCTTTTAAACTCTGGGCTTCTGGGAGACTCCTGCTGAAGTGTGAGTGCACAGGGTTGAAGACAACTAGTTCCATTGAGCAGGGTCTGATTTCTTCTGTTTTGTTTGACTGGGGTGTGCTTGGCTTCCATCTGCCTGTCATCCTAGAATAGCAGCCCGAACCAGCCTATGTGGTGTCTCCTGGGCAAGGGAGGTTAAGTCTGAGGCATGACTGCCTTCAGCAACTGAATAAACAAGACAGCTTGGAGATGAGCTTTTATTCATAGGAAAGCAGATAGCCATTTTGGTAATGAAATATTTATTGCCTATTATCTTCTTGTTGCCAAGACTACTGCATGTAGTACATTTCTAAAAAGATACTAGAAGGCTACAGAGCTTACAGGTATTCATAGGCTATACATTTTATTTTAAAAATATCTTGAATGACAGTCTATTAACCAGAACTGAATGTGGTTTGTTATTTGATGTTGATTGAGATCACACCATGTTCCACTTTAAGTAAGCATTTTTCCTTCTTGTCTTTAATCACTGATTTCCTTGAAGAAACAACACCTCTACTTTATAGCTTAGGAAAGTGGGGCCAGCCATGTTCATTTTTTTTTTTTTTTAAAGATTTATTTATTTGTGCATACAGAACTGGGGTACAGGCCAGAGGCTCAGGGGCGGTGAGAGGCTTCACCGGAGACAGAGTGGGGAGCAGAACAGTCAGATCGACGAAGTACATTGCTGAGGGGAGCAGCGGGCGGGTCAGGAGAGGTCTGCCACGCCATGTGGTCACCTCCGGGGCAGGCGGGAATCGAACTCATGCGGAAGCGGCTTTTAGATTCTCAGTGCTGTGCTTTAACCCGCTGCGCCACCAGGGAGGGCCAGCCATGTTCATTTTTAAGGCAGCTAAAGAATTAAGTCAGTGTGAACAGATTTTTGCAGTTAAATAAAGCTAACTTCTCTAAATGAACACTTAGTAATAATACTTTCTTAAATACACTTCAATTATTTTAATTGTTTACAAAGTGCCAGCTAAATTTTGTGGGGTTTCCAAAGATGTTAGATAAGATCTCTGATCTCCAGTTGTCTTCTGCATAATGGGACCTACTAGCATCTAAATACTGATTAATTCTGTACCAGGATAGATTCCATAGTGCTGTAATAAGAGTATAAAATACTATAGGGTATGGAGGAGTAAAACATTAATTCTGACTAGGGATTTTCAAAAAAGCTTTAAAAAAAATGTTACCATTGATTTGGATGTTAGCAAAGAGTAGAAATAGGTAGCGTTCATTGGGTGCTTACTAAATGCCAGCTCTGTGAAAAGGTCTTTACTCTTTTAATTCTCATGATGAACCTTGTGTAAGTTAAGTCTTATTAGACTTCCATTTTATAGTTGCATAAACTGAGGCAGAGAGCAGTTAAATAATTGGCCAAAGATTGTAAATCTAGTAAATGATGGAGTTAGGATTCAAATTCAAGGGCTATAACTCACTCTTAACCATAATTCCATGCTGCTTCCTGTCAGGGGTCAATAAGGGAGAATTCATCCTAAATCTGTTAGCATGACTTGAACGCCGGGGCAGGGGAAGAGGGTGAAAAGGACATGTGATACAAGACACACATAGGAGGCGAGTAGGGTCACAGTTCGATTGTGAGGGACAGAAGGGGGGTGCAAGGGAGTGCCCTGGTAAGATTTCTGTCACAGGGCCCTGCCTGGTGGTGCAGTGGATTAAAGTGCAGCACTGTGAAGCTCTCGGCAGCCACTGCAGCATGAGAGTTCCATCCCCAGCCAGGGAGGTGACCCATGTGGTGCTGCAGACCTGTCCTGACCCCCTGCTGCTTCCTAGCCATGTATGTCAGTAGATCTGTCTGCTCTGCTCCCCACTCTGTCTCTGGTGAATGCTATTAACCCTCCCCCCAGCATCTCTGTCCTGAACCCCAATTCTTGTATGCATAAATAAATCTTAAAAAAAAAAGAAAAAAGATTTATGTCTTGGGAAGACTTTGTGGAGAGGAAGTGTGTTGGGCAAAGAACTGGAGCAAAGAATATCATTTAGGCATCTATCTATTAATTAAATAATTAAGAGACTATTTTTTTTAATGAAATGTGTGTGCCAGGGGCTGAATGTTAAGGACATGACAGGGTTTAAAAGAGACCATACTGACAAGGCCTGCATGCTCATTGTGTGGAAAGAATATAGACAGTATATAAGGAAGTGGACAGATAAGCAATACATTTTATATAGTTCAGAAGGAGGGAAGAAGGGCACCTAGTATTATTTTGCCATTTTTCTGGGAGCTATGCTGATTAAATGTGCTCTTTTTTATAAAAATGTTATTATCAAACTACGTCAACGTGAAATGTGTATCTCATGAATTTTCCAGTGCTGAACAATATTCTTCTAAAGGCCTGTCTTTGGAGGAGATGAAAAGTCTTCAGTTCTTACCCACCGACAAATATGGTAAGTATATAGATTCTTCAGATTGATGAAAGACACCAAGAAGGTGATATCTATTTGGTAAAGAGGCAGGAAATGCTTGTATTTTGTGATAAATTGAAATGAAGTATGTTTTCAAAATATTACATTATAAAAGTACAGACTTTGATCCTGTAAGTCTTGTACAACTCCACTCTTTGAGTTTAATAATATATGTGGGTACTTGAGAATATGTAGGAGTGAAAATGATCAATAGTCATTGTGAAAATAATTTTTATTCTTGGGACCCTCTGAACACTTAGTTATCACCTTACGGGCCCACTGCCTCCACACTGATATGCAGGTAGAGAGGAGGCAAACAAGCTAAATTTCCAGTTAGGAGACCTTTTCCCCTTAGGGCAAGTACCAAAGAGTAGAAAATAAACCCAATGTTTCCCTCAAAAAGCCAGAGAATAGGAAAGCTATCGCTGATGAGATTCATTTACACAGGACTGCTTTAGAAAGAATGAATAAAGCTCTTTGAACTAATTAACAAAGTTCCACACAAGCCTCTGAAAACCAGAGGATGGGCAATCACCCTTATCTTCGGCTGTCATATTAATGTGCTAGGCCTGTGATGTCCTTTTTCCAGGCTCTAAGCCTGAGAGGCTCTGTATTTAATTGGAAGTTTAGCTTAATGTGCTTATTTATTCATGGCAACTTCCTTTGGTAATATGGAAGACAGAAAAAAACGACGTCAGTTAAAAAGATCAGGTTTATTACAAGAACTGGGCTGGGGAAGAATAAATTGGAAGGTATGTTCCCCGTTCTCTGATTTACATGGCAATAAACTCGGAACACCCTCAGCTTTCATAGCCTCACCAATATACTTCATCAGCAGAGTATCATTATGTTAGGGAGTTTTTAAGAAATGGAGGAAAAAAGAATTGTACTGGATACATGCACACAAACTACTTGGGAACATTAAAAGTGGAAACTTTGTGCTTCAGACTCCAAATCGTGTCTGAATTCAGCCTAGAGCTTTATCGTCAGCACTACAACATAACCGGTCTGTCCAATAACGGGGAAATTTTCACAAAGTGTCACATCATCACATTTTTTATAGCTGTAATATCATTTTCTCAAACCTTTGCAGATGTGACCACACAACCAGAAAGTATAAGGCAAACTTTGAAATGGGTGCTTTGACCAGAAGGCTTTCCTTTCAGGTTGAACTTCAGGATGAAACTTTTCTTTCATTTAATGATCTATTTCTTAAAGGGATAAGACTTAGAACAGAACTCCCCAAGATGGATAAATAAGACAACAGTGCAATCATAGAAAAGTTGGGCTTTCCTATATTAGGGTATTTGAATGGAGGGAGAGCAGTATAGACAAAGAAGATATTTTTAATTTCTCCCACTAGGAATAGCACATCATTAAAAAAAAGAAACCTTTAGTTACCTATTCACTTCATAAACCATGGAGGAAAAGCAAATTTATGAAATATCGCCCCCCCGTACCCCCCCTCCCACACACACACCACCACCACCACCACCACCATCAAAGAACAGGGCTAGAGAATGAAGATGAAAGTAAGTACCTAGCTATTTTCTCTGTACTTGAGACCTTTCACTCTAAAGTTATAAAACATGTGCTTTGATACAGTCTTTTCTTCAGGCCTGTGGTCACATTTCTTGAGTCCCTCGGGGTAAATAGCTATGGAGCACAGTCCATCTGCCCTTAGCTCTGGCCCTGGCTAATGGCATTTGTGTTGGTGTCAATGTCCTGCTGACTTTGCTTCCCATTCCCAAAGGGGAGCGCACCCACATTGGGGGAACGCGCACTCACAGTCAGATTTCCTTGCTAGTTCTGTGGGAAGAAGCCAGTAATTGGGCATCTGGTCCCTGAGAAGACTGATTATAGTAATAAGAGGATGGCAAACTTGCCAAAGCTCTAGCTATGCCTGGAATGAAGTCACCATTTCAGGCTGGATGAAATATTTTTGCTCTAGGATGTGGATTTTGCTTTAGTCCACTCAAAATTAGGTTCAGTGTTGCGTATACTGCTTCTCCTCTTTCTAGTCTGCATCTCCGTCCCCCTCCTTTCCCTCCCCCACACAGTCTTCCACTTATCTGTCCAGGGCCAGCGCCACTGGAGGTGAGTGAGAAATGACAGCAAGCAGCAGTGGTGGCATTTCCTCCCAGGGAGAGTTTATGTGCTAGCTAAGATGTTTTGACAGAGACCTTCCTTTTGAAAATAAATATACCTATTCAACTGCACATTGCTAGATGTCTTGATGAAAATGCAGATGGCTGAGTAGGTTCTGAAAACTCAACTATCCAAAGCAGCAAATGCAGCAATAGTTATTGACAAATGTGCCCATTTTCACAGCAGCGATGAATGGTTTCCTTCCCTGAAGTGGAAAGGTAACTGCTTCTCTGTATGAATCCTGTGTTGGGCAGGACAGGAGCTGACCCTGAGTCACTAGCTCCATTCTGGAATGCACCCAGGGCAATTGCTTCAAGAAGTATCAACTGCCACTGGTATTTAGACCAAAGCATTAATGTACAGTTAAAAGTTGGACTCTGAGAGAGGAAAGCAACCAGAAGCAACCTGTGGTAGAATCGGCTCTGTCCTTTTTCTCTGCTGCTCTCTAAGCCTTCCTTTTTTAAACAGCCATTTCTTTAGCAGTCACTGTGTGTCAGACACTGTACTCATTGTCCTGTGTGTGTTACCAACCCTCTAAGCCAATAGTGTCACTTCTTCCATTTACAAATTAAGGTACTGAGACTCAGAAAGGCTAAACTGACCAAAACACAGGGCCGGAGAGCGGCAGTGGGGCCAAGCTTATGCCCAGGCACACATGACATGAAAACCTTGCTTTCAGCCACCATGTACACCCTTCCCTTGTTCTTTACTGCAAACTCAGAATGTCACCTAGGCAGCCTAGGTCAAATCAGACATCAGTCATTTAGGTGCCTCTGATCTCAGCAATCTGTTTTCATTAACAATTTTGTTTTTGTTTTACTGATGCTTGCTAGTAGCTCTTGTCTCTGTTTTTCATGAGTCTGGAAAAGCAACCCAGTGGCTGTATATAGCACTGGTTCAGGCTGGTTAAGGAAGATGGGGAGATGGACTGAAAGGCCAATAAGTAACAGCTGAACTTCTTTTTCTGATGCAGGCTACGTGTCTGATCCCATGAGCCCGATGCATTTTCATTCTTGCCGGAATAGTGGCAGCTTCGAGGACAGCAGCTGACAGCAATCTGCATAGACCTAAGGAGAGACTTCCCCCAAATTGACAGCAACAAATCCAACCATGGCAGGCTTGCTTCCAATTATAATATTTTACCCTCTGAGGCCTCCTTAAGCTGGCTTGTTTATGCTGGTCCTACTTAATTCCTACCACAGTTGGGCTTTGGATTTGTGGCTAGAGAATGAAATGCAAAAGAACCAAAACAGAATGCATCTGAAAATTGGTTTTAATATTTTAAATGGAAAAAAATGTTTTTGTTACTTGGAGATGAGGCTGAAGGCCATAGTGGGGACTTATCAATTTCTGTATTAGTTTAGACTGAATTATATAGACATGGCTTTGATTTCTTAGAATACTGTTTGTTTCCTTATCTCATTATGTTATTCGGTGCCCATTTCTGTGATTAAAGATCCTTGGGTGTGATACACAAAATTGACTCAGAAGTGCATTTCACTCCAACAAGACTTCTACTGAATATACCTTCTTTTAGACATATTGGTAAAAAGAAATAATGACCTTCAGATTAAGAAGATTACAGAAACATAGCGATTATTTAGCCTTTCTATTTCATACCAAATGGTCTGTGCTTTACTTGGACAAACAGTTGCTGTGCTACTGAGTTGTCATAAATGCCATCAATTCAGTTTTAGGACAGGTCACTACATGCAAATCTGCCTTTTATACAGAGGCTGGTACAGCTGATTTCGAAAAATGAGAAATCTGTCCCTCATTGTTGTCCCAACCAAGAAGACAGACATGTTTCCACCAAACAAAGTGATTTTATCATTGCAAGATAGATAGTCTGGGGAAAAGCATGCAGGAAACCATGAAAATTCAATGTGATAATTACTATTTTTAGCCTCTATGAGAAAAATAAAATTAGTAAAGGATGATCAGACATCCTCCAAAGGAAGGCTTCTAGATCTCAGCACTATAGACATTTTAAAGAGGGTAATTCTTTGCCCTTTGCACTATAGATTGTTTCAAGCCTCCCTGACCCCTAACCTCCACTTCACAATGCAGCTATAACACCTTGCTTCTGACAATAATCAACATTGTTTCTAGACACTTCTAAATGTGCCCTGGGGAACAGAATTTCCCCATGTGAAGAACTACTTCTCAAAATGTGAGATGACAACCAGGGGCCTGAAGAGTAAAGGAAGGATCTAGAGCCTGCTTGTAACTGGGTGCATTTATGCAAATCTGCTTTCTCTTCCTGAGTAATGAGAACTCCTACACCCAAGGAAATGAATAGAAGTGCTGATTGCTCCTTCAGTGCCTGTGGCAAGCTCCTCTACCCTCACCCCTCTTCCTACCATTTAGAAATTATGTTTCTTGAGGGCAATTTCTATCAGGAGAAAAGCAACCTCATCTCTGAAATCCCTTTGAAACTTTTCTTTTGCCCTGTGGTTGCAAAGTTGGAAGTGCCCCTTTTTCTGATTACCCTCTGGATCGTCAAATGTGAGTTGCAAGGTAGAAATGAAAAATCATGGTACAATTTAATTAATTTGTCCTTTCATAGCCCCCAACTTTGTTTTTCCCAACCCCAATTGTTCTAGAGTCACAGGTACTCTATCTACATCATCAAACAGTCTGGCACTGGACTTGGTCCTTCAGAGCAGAACCAAGGAATCTGAAGTGACCACAAGCATCAAGCTCCCCAGCAAAGACAGAAGAAAAAGAGGCGTAAGAGTAACCTGTCCCTACAGCTCAGTGTCTATCCTCTGCTCTGGCTACTTTAGGGGAAAAGCTGGCACCTAGGCTGGCACACTTTGGGACTGAATCATTTCATGAATAGATTTAAAAGGACTACTTGGGGATAAAAAGGAAAAAAAAAAGCCACAGGTTTAATTTGAAGATTCACAGCAAATATAATTGCTGAAAGTATAGATAATGAAGCTTGGGTACATCAGGGGTTCTGCCAGGTTGCCACTGACTGGAGGGCATATGCAGAGGAAGGACTCTGGCTTCTGAAATATCCCTCCTTTACAGAAGGTTTTCTAGAACAAATTTCTTTGTCTCCTTTATTAACTACCTCCTCTCTCCACTCTGCATTTCCTTATAGTGCTGCTTCCCTCTAGCTCTTGTCTTGTCAAGTATCTTGCAAATAATGAAGCTAATGTGTCTTGATTCCTGAGAAAGAGAACCTTTTCACAGATGCCAACCTGTAGCTCACAAACCCTTTTCATTACTGCACCTTTAATGGGGCCCAGGGATCATATTAGAGCTTGTCTCCAGATCATGGGTTTTTTTTTTTTTTTGTCCTCCTTGCTGAAAAATGTCTCACTAATTGCTTTCCTTTTCTGCTGGTAAAAATGAACTTCTATGATCATGATTTTGCATGCTTAGCACTTTAAATTTTTTTTCTGAGTACATACAGAGCTGAGCTCACTTCGAAGATGTTCAATTAGCTATAATTGTAAGCCAAATTACAGCAGCACTAGGAAAGAGTTATTTCAACAGAATGATTATTTGGGTTAAATTATTTCCAAAGCTGACATCTCCCTGGGAAGGGGGGGTGGGGAAGGGAATGGTTGTTCATGTCAGGAGAAAGGACTAGTGCTGGACAAGCCACATGAATGGAACGACCTGCAAGTGCACGCTCTCACACTGTGTTCACTCTCTTTGTCTCTTCCTCTCTCTCTCTCTCTCTCTCCTCTCTCTCCCCTCCCCAAACCTTACTTTCCTTCCTTCTTTCTCTCCCTCAAACAATAAGCAATGCTTTGGAGACACTCAGAACTTTTATAGTAGTTGTGTGACCTTGGGCAAGACACTTAACTGAGCTGCAGCTTAGATAGTAATAATAAAATTATCTTGTAGAATTGCTGTAGGGATTGCAAATAATACAAAGCACATTGTATAGCTGCTGTCACCGTAGCAGATATTGTTGTAAATGTTGTTGTTTATTGTTACTATTATATCACCCTACAAAGAATTGCACTACAAAAGGAGAACATGAGAGGAATGAGTTTTTTTTCTCTTTTGTGAAATAACCATCAACATCCCTAAAAGCTTTACTTTTGCAAATAACAAGCTGCCAAGCATAGACTTCTGAGGCAGTTTGAGCCAAGATCCAGCAGCCTTAGGTAGCAATGCATTATTTATAGGCCTGAAATAAAATCAGAAATCAAATAGTTTAAATAAAAAAAAAAAGAATTCCTCAAGTAAAGGGAACACTACGCAAGACTAAAACATATTTATTGAGCACCTAATATGTGGCATAACAGTTTTTGGTGAAGTGTATTATTTCATGAATCCAGCTACTATAGAATTGAGACAAGTTTCAGACTAGGTTTTTCTTACATTACTATCCATGATTTGCTCACCACACAGTACTGCCTTCACTCTGATGGAGAAAATGCGTAAAAAACAGTAAATGATCACAATCCAGAATTGTGGTAAAAGCAACAAATCTGTAGGTCTGCAGTTCAGAGGAAAATATGTGAATTAATACAAGAGAAGTTTCGGGGACAAGAAAACAAACCTTTCCTGATTCTGATGGCTCATTATTGCAAAGTAAAACAACGAAAAAAAAATCATCATCATTTTCCGTTATAATTATAGAAAAGGCTGGAATAATCTCAAGGCTCAAAAAACATACATTGTTATTTTCTAGTCAGAAAGAACCAGAAATGATTGACAGAAGCAAGACTCTCACCATGATAAGCAGGAACAAAAAAGTTATGAGGGCAAAGCACAGCAATTAGGGAAGCCAAGGAGTTTCACATTTTCCTCTCCTCATTAGCACACTGCGAAACTAGAAGAGATGGTGTAGCCATTACCAGTAGGATTTGAATACCTTATTCCCTCCTAGTTTTGTGTTGCTTACAGTTACTCAAGCATGCAAACTGAAGAGCTCCCCCTGATCAATTCCCTTCCATATTTCAAGAGCCACAAGGGCAAAGATGAGCCATTTGACATTTGCAATCTCTTCACTGGTGTCAGCTGAAGGCTCTGTTGCTGTAAGAATAGACTGTGGTCCAAGACTGTCAGCTCAATTAGCATCGTATGCAAAACATGATGGGAGAAGCAAAGTTCCACTCCCTCCTTGGATGGACATCCTACCTTTTATGAGGCTAGCTAGAAATAAGAAGAGCAGAGGTTGCACATTTCTCCTCAGGCCAGAGATCCAAAGGCAGCACAGCAGCTGACCCAGTGGCAGGGCGCTAATTAAATTAGGCTTCTGGAATTAAAACACTGCCACTGATGCCAAGCCCTGCTGATGAGGACATGTCTCCAAAGCAGCGTTAGTCTAGCTTTGTGTTTAATTAGCGAGATAAAAGAAGTATCATCTCAAGGATCTGTCTTTAAAGCAATGGGCTCATATACAGAAGAAAGTTTTCTTTACTCTCTTTAAAGACAGTTTTGACGCTCACTAATTTCATTAACTTCCATCTCTTATATAATTTCTAATCAGGAAAATGTACGATTCAAGTAAAGCCACAAAATGCAATAAAAATCATCTGAATGTTGGTTTGCCCTTCAGTTTCTTACACATAATAACCTATGATCTGCTTATCACCATGTCAAAAATTAATCCACAGCGAAGAATATCAGATCCTCCTTTAAGGATATTGTTTTCTTTTTTCAAATTCAAATTAGCCTAAAGAAAGAATCAATGTCAAGATGGTGAATACTTTGAGTTAATAAGAATGCCAATGAATGGGAAACTGGGTGATTGGGTGTATATTTACTCTATACAAGGGGTGAAACTAGGAGGCAGACTAGATACAACAGTTCTTAAAAACTTCAGCTTGCCTCTGCATAGTGAAGCATTTATTGAAATGTTGATTACTGGACTCCTGGAAAGCTTTGAGCAAGGCCCAAGAATTTGCATTTCCACCACATTCCCAGGAAATGGTGATGCTACTGATGTGGAAGCCACTTTTGGAGATGAACTAGTGCCATGGTTTAAGGTGTGCGCTCTGGAGTCAAGCTTGGGTGAATGTCACACAGTGGGCAAGTTACTTACTCTTCTGATCTTCAGATTCCCCATCTATAAA